CTGTGAGCAGTGAAGCCATGGCACTCTACCCAGGGGGACAGCTTGAGGCTCTGTCTCAAAAAAATAATAAAATAAAATAAAAAATAAAAAATTATTCATTCAGGCTTGGTGGTGCCTGTAGTTCAGCAGCTGCTGGTGGGTTCAAATCCAGCCCAGGCCTGCCAAACAACAATGACAACTAAAACCAAAAAATAGCTGGGCGTTGTGGTGGGCACTTGTAGTCCTAGCTACTTGAGAGGCTAAGGCAGGAGAATTGTTTGAGTCTAAGAGTTGGAGGTTGCTGTAAGCTGTGGGCACTCTATCAGGGTGAAATAGTGAGACTCTGTCTCAAAAATACATAAACAAATAAATAAAAATTAAAAAGAAAATTATACTTATTCAGGGAATTTATTTGGGTATCCTTTTTTTGAGACATAGTCTAATTTTATCGCCCTTGGTAGAGTACTGTGGCATCACAGCCCACAGCAAACTCCAACTCCTGGGCTTAGGCGATTTTCCCGCCTCATCCTCCAGAGTAGCTGAGACTACAGGCACCTGCCACAATGCCCGGCTATTTGTTGCAGTTTGGCTGGGGCTGGGTTCAAACCCACCACCCGCAGTATATGGGGCTGGTGTCCTACCCACTGAGCCACAGGCGCTGCCCCATCCTGTTCTTTTTTCTTTTCTTCTTTTTTTTGCGGTTTTTGGCTGGGGCTGAGTTTGAACCTGCTACCTCTAGCATATGGGGCCGGCACCCTACTCCTTTGAGCCATAGGTGCTACCCCCATCCTGTTCTTTTTATTTGCTAAATCTGACAACCCTATATGCGACAGAAATAAAACATCTAGAAGCCAGAGCCCCATGCTAGATAGGTCCTTCCCCACTTTGACTTCTCTCCTCAAAACAAGCTAATACATTAAAAAAAAAAAAAAAAAAAAAAAAGATCTATCCGAGATAGTCCATGCTATTTAAACCTCAGGGATCCTGCAAGGCTGCTGATCACAAACTGTGCTACAGTTCCATGGAGGACTTACCATTGGGGTCTTTCCTGAATAGTGTGTTCATGACTGTAGCGTGCAGTTTCACGGTATTCCACTCTTTCACTATTAGTCCGGATGCCTGAAAACGTTCCAGCACTCGATCAACTAATTCTTGTAGCCTAGAGAAATTGAAGAGAAGAAGCACAGAAATCTTCATAAACTCCTGAACACGTGATTACTAATTCAACAATGTTTATAAAGCAGTTGCTCAATGCCGGTCACCGTACACAAGCCCAGCATCAGAAGAGGAAGAAGAAGCTGCACACCTATCATGGAGCTCATCAGAAGAGGAAGAAGAAGCTGCACACCTATCATGGAGCTCACTGTCTTGTCAAGAAGACAGGGGAAATAAATAACTGCAATACATTACGGTGAGTGGGAAGGGACTATTCAGCTCTATAGGAAGAGGGCCATGTCTCCACAGGAGGTTTAAGTGGGGTCTTGAAGGATCATTAAAGATTTGCAAATAAATCCAGGAATGAAGGGCACTTCAAGCAGAAGAAACAGCATATGTAAAGATGCTGAGGCATAGAAGATCACAGCATATTCAGAAAACTGCCAATTATTTAATAACACAGAGTGAGAGAAGAGGGACAACTGGAGATGAGCCAAATCTATAAGCAGTAGCCAGACCATGGGAAGCCACCAAAAAACTTTCAAAAGAGAAGGATGTGGTCCAATGCCCATTTTTGAAAGCTGACTCTGTGGCAGGGTGGAGACTGCTTTAGAAAGGAAGAGACCAGCAGTACAGAGGTCAGCCAGGTGGCTACTGCAATAGCCAAAGTAACAAAAAACGTAGCATGTGGGCTCGGCGCCTATAGCTCAACCGGCTAAGGCGCCAGCCACGTACACCTAAGGTGGCGGGTTTGAATCCCCAGCCTGGACCCGCCAAACAACAATGACGGCTGCAACCAAAAAAAAAAAAATAGCCGGGCGTTGTGGCGGGCACCTGTAGTCCCAGCTACTTGAGAGGCGGAGGCAGGCGACTCGCTTGAGCCCAGGAGTTGGAGGTTGCTGTGAGCTGTAATGCCACGGCACTCTACCCAGGGGGACAGCTTGAGGCTCTGTCTCAAAAAAAAAAAAAAAGTAGCATGTCAGGTACTGTTCTGAGCACTTCATATCTGTTAAATCACTTAATCCTCATAACAAATTATTATACCTATTTTACCTATAAGACAACTGAGGCACAGAGAAGTTAATGAACTTCACCAAGGTCACAAAACTAATCAGTGGCGGATCCAAAATCAGAATGCAGGCAGTGAAGCTTCAGAGTCCATGCACTTCGGAATGGCATATAAAGGAGGAAAGAACGCAGATCTAAACTGCAGCAGGGCACTGAGACCATGGGTTCAAAGAGCTAGGTGAGAGAGAAGGTGGTGCCCATTCAGACATGGTTGTGTTAGGGAAAGGAAGTGATTCAGAAAGATTCTCAAGGGTTGCCTTAAATGACCAGCTGAGTCATTAACCAAGCTGTGGAAAAGCAACTGCTTATTGTTACGTTGTGTTGTTCTGAGATTAAGATGCTGTGCATGATTTTACAGATGTGGCATGGGATATTGGAAGAGAGATGAAAACATGAACCTGGAGCTCAAGAGGAGAATCTAAACAAACAATACATATTTAGGAACCATCAGCACAAAAACAGTAGTTAGAGATGCAGTCAGGGGGGTGATGGGATTCAGAGTAAGCCAAGAGAGGTAGGGACAGAGCACTGTGAAACACTATGTGAAGAGCAGAGATGGAACCAGGAAAGACAACTGATACAAGTAAGGAGTAAGAAAAGGAAGTTGAGAGGCTGGAAGGAGAATTACAAAGGGGAAAACAGAATCATCTGTACAGGATAACACTATGAAAAGGAAGAAAAGAGGCAAAAAACAGTTCCTTATTTTACACAATTAGAGACTTCGGTCAAAGCAGTTTCACTGACATGCTAGAGACAGAAGTCTTGTAAACAGAGGACCAAGGGAGGAACCAGAGAGAGGAGGGGAAGGTGAGGACTTTACAGAACTCTGTCAAGAAACTTGAAAGGAAGGAGAGAAGCCAGGCATGGGTGGCTCATGCCTGTAATCCTAGCACTCTGGGAAGCCAACGAGGGTGGACTGCTTGAGCTCAGGAGTTCGAGACAAGCCTGAGCAAGAGCAAGAATCCATTCTACTTTTAAAAATAGAAAAACTAGCCAGGTATTGAGGCAGGCACCTGTAGTCCCAGCTACCAGGGGGCTGCCAGGAGGCTGAAGCAGGGGGATTGCTTGAGGCCAAAAGTTTGAGGTTGCTATGAGCTATAATGATGCCATGGCACTTTACCCAGGGTGAAAGAGTAAGACTCTGTCTCTAAAAAAAAGCAAAAGAAAGGAAGGAGAGAAACTAATGCTTTGGTAATTAGAATATATGGAGTCGAGGGAAGGTTGCTTGTATTTGGTTTTAATGAAGAGAAAAAGTTGAAAATGCTTACTGACAACAAGAAATTATCCAATAGAGAAGGGAGATCAAACTTCAGGCCATAGAGGAAATGCACAGAACAAGATTCAAAAGGATGATGTGCACATAGGGGACAGGAACACAGTGGGGACCAAACCCAGCAGCTAACATCATCCCAAGCAGCTAACATTCCAGTGGAACACACACACACACACACACACACACACACACACACACGTATACCTCGGGTGCTAAGGCTACAAAGCAAAGGAAATGGCAAAGAGGGAGTAGAATAGCACTAGGGATAGGTGAACTCTCTTACATAGGGCAATCAGGGAAGGTCTCCCTGATAAAATGACATTTAAACAGAGACCTGAGGGAAAAGCATTCCATACAGAGGGAACAGTAAACACAGACGTATGAGACAGGCGTGTGAGTGGTGTGACTGAGGAATAGTAAGGTAGCCAGTGTTTGCAGTAAAACTGAGAAAGGAGCAGTGAAGAGGTGAGGTGGGTAGGAAGAATCACACAGAACTCGCAGGCCTGGGTAAGGGTTTCAGCATTTACTCTTTTTTTTTTTTTTTTTTTTTTTGAGACAGAGCCTCAAGCTGTCCCCCTGGGCAGAGTGCCATGGCATTACAGCTCACAGCAACCTCCAATTCCTGGGCTCAAGCGAGTCTCCTGCCTCCGCCTCCCAAGTAGCTGGGACCACAGGCGCCCGCCACAACGCCCGGCTATTTTTTGGTTGCAGCCATCATTGTTGTTTTGGCGGGTCCGGGCTGGGGATTCGAACCCGCCACCTTAGGTGTACGTGGCTGGCGCCTTAGCCGGTTGAGCTATAGGCGCCGAGCCAGCATTTACTCTTGAGTGAGATGGGGAGCTTCTGGAGGGTTTCAGCAGAAGAATGACATGATCTGGCTGCTGTGTAGATGACTAATAGTGGTGGAAGCACAGGATGGAAGCAGGGAGGGAGCTGGAAGGCTATGGCAAGCACCAGCTATGGCTGAGGCAGCAGCACTGGTAATGATGAGAAGGGACAGATTTCTTGGTATACTGAGTCAAGAGGTGAAGGTGATTCTAAAAGAGTTTTTGTCCTGAGCAACCAAAATATTGAATACTGAAGAACACAATATATTGAAGGCTCACAATAAATTCTGCAGAAGGGGAGCAGCGGCAATGAAATGGAATGGCAGGCTGAAGCCCAGCTGCAAAAGCCTCTGTAGGTCAAGCAGGGTTGGAGTTTTACTTGGTAGGTCATGAAACCAATAAGGGTTTTGTGTTTTGCCTTTGTTTCAGAGACAGAGTCTCATTCTGTCACCCTAGGTAGAGTGCCATGGCGTCACAGATCATAGCAACCTCTGTTTCCTGGGCTCAAGAAATTCTCTTGCCTTAGCCTCTGGAACAGCTGGGATTACAGGCACCAGCCACAACACCTGGCAAGTTTTCCTATTTTTAGTAGAAATGGAGTCTCACTCTGGCTCAGGCTGGTCTAAACTCCTGAGCTCAAGCAACCCACCCACCTTGGCCTCCCAGAGTGCTAGGATTATAGACGTGAGCCACTATACCCTGCCCAATGAGGGTTTTTAAGAAGCAAGAAACAGGCTTGGTGCCCGTGGCTCCAGTGGCTAAGGTGCCAGCCATATACACCTAACTTGGTGGGTTCAAATCCAGCCCGGGCCCACCAAACAACAATAATGGCTGCAACCAAAAAAAAAAAAAGTAATATATATATAGCCAGGCAGGAGTTGGAGGTTGCTGTGAACTGTGATGCCACAGCACTCTACCTACAGTGACAGCTTGAGGCTCTGTCTCAAAAGAAAAAAAAAAAAGAAGCAAGAAACCCTGGGAAAACTAAAGGCATAAAAACCAGGTAAGAGAGATGTGCTTTCTTACATAGTTATCTTAACTTTTTCCCCAATTATAAAAATAATTCATATTCATTTTTTTTTTTTTTTTT